CCCCCCTCCCCCTCCCAACCCACCCTCGTTAGTGCGGTAGAACGGAACGGGCATTCTTTTTCTTATGTTATGTTATGAGAGGGGGCCTAGAATTACCATGAACCATGAATCATGAATCATGATATGCTTCTCTCTCTTGTGTGAAGGAAGGATGACGGATCGAATAACCAAAAAAACCAAAAACGAAAACGGATCATTCCATGGGTTCTGCCTTCTGCCCTGCCATGACATCAATAGACGTCCGTCCGTCCGTCCCTCGTTTGTGGAAACCCCCCTCCTCCCTTTGACTTTGTGTTGACGGCGAAGTTTCATTATCATCGTGCTTCATCATAGAACACGAACGAACGTCACCATCCAATATCCAAAAACAAATTCTCTTCCTCCAACACCGAAAGAATGAAATCATCGATATAATATATTATCACTGATACAATTTTTAGTGGGATCCGAAGCGCGCAGACCCTTCGCAAGGAGAAGAACGACCGACCAACTACAACAATTCAAAAAAAAAGGAAAAAAGAATAATGAAAAAGAAAAAAAGACACAAAAGAGTCAGTCCGTCGGCTCGTAACGACGTCGTAATCGTAATAATGCCTGTGAAAAAAATATATATAGCGGCAGAGAAGAGGAGTAATGGAACAACGAGAGAGAGAGAGAGAGAGAGAAGGGGGGATATCAGACGGACGGTATTGTTTGTTGTATACGTGATTTTACTTCGAAAGCAATGCGAGAGATATTGCAGTGTATGAACAAGCATGCAATCTACAGAGAATGCTGGAAGAAAGAAAACGGGAAGATGGAGCGACAACAAAAGATCAAGGCTCAAGGCGATAGATGGTGATGCTAGATTGTACTGGAAACGATGCTGTTTGGATGGATGGATGGATGCTGATGCTGATGACGACGATGCGAGAGAAGAGAAGAGACGATGCTAAGAAAAAACCATGCAGGAGAGAACTTGCAGCTGACACACGACAACACAACACGACGGATTGACCACCACTCCGACCGGCCCGGACCAGCCAACAAGAAGGAGTGCTCGGTGGGACAAGAATTCGCAACGAAACCCCCCCCCTCTCCGCCAGCTAATACGACCGCATATGAGTGTCATACCCATGCGTACGGTAGTCATTCATATTGCCCGGGTACATCAGCGTAGGAGGCGACATAGCATGCATGCAATTCCCCTGCATCGGATTCGACGGAGAATCATCGGGCAACATCATCGGAGGATGTAAGTACGTAGAAAAGAACGATTCCTCCTCCTGCATTGGCATATTCCCCGCAGGCGGGTGAAGGTAGTCCATCGGAGAGTCTTGGTCCGGTGGAAGCATGGGAGGGTGGCAGAACTGCGGAGAATTGTCGTTCTGAGATTGCAAAGGTGGATGCCAGAACGGGTCCTCCACACCGCGAAAACCTCCGCCGTATGAGGTCGACGAGTAGTTACTGAATGGGAAATCCATAGATGATCGCTGCGAGTGAGAGGTGGCCGAAGAAGCCGTAGAATATCCGTCCGTAAACGAGGAATAGGAAACAGCAGAGGAAGGCGGCTCGGACGCCGAGTCGTTGCTCATCCTACGACGCTTGTTCCTCCTCTGCGTCAAACTCTGATCAGACTCAAAGTCGACAGAGGCGAAAGGAAGAGCATCCGAATGCAGTGTAAGCTGGCTCATCTGGTCGGGATGGTAGGGTCCCGGGAACTGGTAATTGAACATGCTCTGGTACATGGGACCCTGGTTCATGTCCTGGCCTAACGCGCCCATCAATTCGGATTGCGTAGCGCGATACTCGACTTCCTCGTTGTATTCGTAGGTCATCTGAGTCGTCGAATCCGGCGCGAGCGTCGGAGAAGACTCCCGCACAGGAGAAGCGCGACGACTCACCCCAGGACTGGCTGAAGGAGTATCGTTGTTGCCGCCGCTCGCAGCCCGACGCGCATCATGACGTGACCGTTTGCGGATTACATCTGACTTCATGGATATCGGACGTGCTGAGCCATGTAATTTGTAGTACAGACCGCATCTAGCAAAATTGGATTCAGGATCGGGGATCGTAAAAGGATGGAAGCAGTTGCAGGGGGGGGGGGAACTTACGCATTACAAACAGTTTTACCCTCGTCGTCCTTGCGCCACAAAGGGGTGGTGGTGGTGTGACAATTGTAGCATTGTGCTAGTACGGTTAATTAGCAATGTTCGTATCATACGATATTATTTTTGGTATTTCACCCATGACATCTACGGATTCTTGGCGGGGTGTAGACTGCGTTCGGCCTTCTCCGTGAGTGTTACGCATCGTCTTCGGCCGAGGGCGCTTGTGCTATTAGTAAAAGGAATAAATTAACATCCTAAAGCAACTAACTGATTGGGGACTAACCAATTTGCAGTATAGACCACAGGCATTGCAGTTGAGCTCGTCGTTGAGTCCGCGCCTCCAGAGGGGTGTATGAGTGGCACCACAGTTCGAGCACTCGGCCTTGACGCCACCGGGCGCTGAATTATTAGCCGTAGTTGTTACACTGCGTAAGAGAGAGGAGTTGAGGCTCGTCGCGGTGGCGCCTGGCCCAGATGATCGTGTGTTGGGGGTTCCACAAGTTCGCACGGAAAGAGACGGGCGCCCGGTGGGGGTATTGGATCTGGCAATGTGTTCGAGGAGAGAATTGACTTTGAAAGGCGCCACTGTCGCGGGAGTATCCGCAATGGGAGGTGCCTTTTTGCCTAAAGGCGCCATGAAATCATCGCTGTCCTCGTCATCGCTCTCGCTGCTGTCATCCGAGAGGCCGGTGTTACTGGACGAAGAAGAGCTGGAAGAAGAGCCGTTTGTCATGGGGACATCCGTGTCCTGCTGCATAGCCTCTGTGGTGTTGTTGTACATATCTTGAGGTAATTCGTAAGATGTAGCAGGTGGTGAAGGTGACGCCACAGGAGGGCTTTCGCTGGCGTCCACGTTGGTGAGAAGTTCATCGAGTGGAAGTTCGATAGTGGGCCGCATGATGCTGAAACCGTCATTACTGGCGCCCGAGGGATTATGTCCTTCGCCGTAGTTCATACGTGTCGTGAGAGTGGGAGCAGGATACAATAGAGCGGTAGGACCAAAATCATTGGAGAAAAGAGGTGGGAATCGTAGGTATTGTTGATCGGCTTCCTTGCGCCCGCGCTGTGTAAAGGGAGGATCCTTGTCGTTGTCGTTGGTGGCGTGGTCCTCGTTCTCATAGCGAGCACCGGCCCTGGGCCGTTTATGGAACTCGGGAGAGGGTTTGAGGTCTGGTTTCTGGACAAAGGTACTGACGGCAGGCGAAGGTTGGTCGACGCTGAAGGTGAACTGCATGCGCTTAATGGTGCCTGGTTTCGCGTTCTGACTTGCTTCTCGGCTGCGCTCCTTCTCTACTGCACGCTGGCGAATGATTTCTATCGAATGACTGGACTTGAAGTCTGGCGCCTCGAGCTCTTCAATGCTTCTGCAGATGGTTGGTAAGCCAACCGTCAAAGAAGATAGGGAGGGGGGGGGGATAGACGCGACATGACATTACCTTCCCTTCTCTTTGTCTAGCTTGTCGCCCATACATTTCGAAAGCTTCTTGAACTCGCGCTTGGACTTGGCATTGTCGGTGTCGACCATAAGATTCTGGAGATGCCATAGCCGCCAACTGAGATTCTCAAGGCGCTGTCCCTGCTCAAGGTAGCTGGCTACCTTTGTGCAGACCTACGCGATGGTGAGCTTGCCTTCGCGCAGGGCAGGGACACGAGCGTACCTTCCAGGTCTTGGTGAGGGACTCGCTGTCGTTGAGATTGCTGAATGCAACGAAACTCTTGTTACCCTGCAGGAGACGGCCAGCGAGGGCAAGAAAAAAGAGAAAAAGGAGAAGAAAATGAGCACGTCGACGACAGCAATGACGACGACGGGAACAAACCTTGAACTTGAGGTTGAGGATAGAGGGCATTTAGGACGGAATGGTAGTCGTAAGAGAGAGAGAGAGCGTAGGGAGAGATGGGTTTGCTGATGGTGTTATAGGCCTGTTATGGCTTAAGCTCAGCTAAGCTGCCCTGTGACATCCGCTTTTCGAAAACGTTTTCAAAAAAGAAAAAAAAAGTAGTTTCCAAAATAAATACTTTCTTTCTTTTTTTTTTCGCATGCACGGTGCCAAAACGTTATTCCAGAGTGGTCCAGGCTGAAACTGCGGGGTTTTCTTGCTCCAGCTTTGGTCTCCGACTGATATTTCTCTGTGCTATTCATTATCCGGATTCTATGAAATCCCACCATCAGCATTGTCACAGAAAGCCGAGCACGGCATTCCGTCGCCTTATGCCTCAGTCTCTACACGTGTTGGTGCCCTGTTCACTGGGTTCCGAAGCTCAGCGAAAGCGGTAAATGCCTGGATCTGGTGAATCTAATGGTCTCCCATCCGGAATTGCCGACATCTAACCGCTGTCTATGGGCGTCTGTTGTCTTGATGTACTTACTAGTCCTGCTCCAATTCCCCTAGGTTAATGTCATCAAGTTGCGAAATAAAAGGCATTTCTTGACGTAGCTCGGGACCCCCGGTGCGGTTACTCCGTGAAATCCCTATGAATGACGGATGTCGCCATCTCAGAAAGTGTAAACGCAGAAAAGAACTCTTCCAACCTCCTCATGTCGAAGACCGAAATTGTCGTCTCCACAATGAACACCTCCCCCCGCATACAGATCGCCCAGTAGCAAATGAAATCTTCCCCAGAGTTGCATCGTCGCTATAGGACGAAGATCGCACTTGATTGATGCCCATAACCCTAGTTGCAGGCTCGCGTCATGTGCCTCAATGAGCAAATTGGAATGCTCATTGCATCCGACCCTGTCACACTGCAGGCATTCCGCCCGCCTCGAGGCATTCACAGCTCCCCTCGAGTTTCGGTTTCGGTGATTACACTCCCAGCTACGGAACGAACTTCGGGTCGTTATCCGCCCGTCGCCGTGTCTGCCTCTCTTTCGGCTCAGCTCAATCGTACAAGCGCATCAGGACACAGACGGTCCAGCCTCACCTGCTAGTGTTTTGTGTAACAAGGTGCAACCCAACAAAAGACACAATGCAATTGGATCCAGCGTTTAGTTTATCACTTGCACGTTTGTGCATCCCTATCCTATAGCAGGCGAGGTACCTTTCTGTCAGTAGATCCGAGGAACGACCCAATCGCCAAAATTCCTTAGTTGGCTACACCACTATCATCGGAAGTTGAATGATTCTGTCATGTTGAAATCAGTAACATTTCCTGTTCCAACAAAGCGCAGGCGAAAAACAGACCGAAGGGGGAGTCGTTGACTCCCAAAACGGCAAAACCCCCATCGATAGTACCCATCGATAACGGCACGTGCAATGAACACACTCATTTCAACATTCATCTGTGCTGAGCATTGAGTACGGTACGGTCCGTGAAGCTCCCCCCCCCCTCACTTCCAGAAGCTGTGCGCACCGCGAATGCTATGAACCATACTATGTCTTGGCGCTCTGTGTCCACCCTAATAGCCAGCAGATATCCAGAAATAAGACGGCCCAGCAGCAGTGTTAATAGACCTTTGACCTCGGCCGCTGAGCCTCATGTATACCTCGAGACGAATATACCGTCCAATACATGTAAACGCAGATGGGCTGCCAGCCAGCCACAAAATCGAAGCAGTCACTCGTTATCAACATCAACGAGTCCCCGGGAAGTGCATCTGATGTTCTCTTGCCATGTCCAAGAGCGCTGAGTTTGAGAACGAAGTATTCCTGCGCAAAGCTCCGGTAGCAGACCCACTGTGCCTTGAAGCCGGTCCCGTATCACAGGTATGAGAGAAACGTGCACGCTTCAAGGACGCCACTAGAGGGTCGGTGACAGTAGGGAAAGAAAGCATCAACAGAGCGCGCACGCCCAGTTTAAATATGTTGTCTTTCGATATCGATGGATGCACGATCTGATACGGGCAAATCCCGCGTTGGGGTCAATGAAATCATCGTTATACGCGGTACACCAAGACAAACATTTCCTGTCTATTTGCCGGGTATGGCGTCACACTGAAGCGGGGAGATTCGTTGATAATCTCGAGAATCTGGGCGCGTTCGCTAGATTTGCCAGGGAGCAATGAGGTCACTGAGGCACAGCCCCCCATAGTGACTCGGATCTTGCATAGAAGATGTCTAGACGCGGCGCCCGGAGCCCTCGAAGGATCCTTATTAAGTGGAAGTGGCAGAGAAAGGAAAGAATTCAAAAAAAAATGTTTTTGATTTTCCGACCGCGTCCAACATGTGACCATGTATCGTCGTCACGTGTAAAACTCAGTCCCACGCGTGTTTTTAATAAATGGAATAGATGCCGCAAAGGCAATGAATGGAATGCATCGTTATGAGATTTATGAATATAACCTGAATGTGTTTCATGTGACTTTACATTTTTTCAATTTTCAACCATTTCGTACGTCTCTTCCTGATGATCGAGCGTAAACCTATAGAAAACAGATTAGTACTTTGCTAGCAATAATTAATTTACCTTGGTAAGATCGATGCATTCAGAGAGAGGCCCCGCACGCGCGGATCAAATGCAGCCTAATGTCTGTGTTTACAAGGGGGTGAAGAAAAGTAAATCATACCCTGAAAGCCTGTTGGGAAGGCACGAGGCAGGTTCATCAAGTCAGTCTCAGACATCGTACAATGTCAGATGAAGAACACATTTGAAAGATCGAATTGAGGGGTACCTGCGATACGCCCATTGCAATTGGGGAGAGATGTAGGCGTCCTATAATAATTACTGTCAGATCAAGGGTATCAGACAATTTTAGCATACGCTGCTACTTCCTTCTCGATCTAATAAATGAATCCATGAGATGAAAACACGAACACGAACTGGAGGACTATCGATACCTTGTTTCCTCTGTCGGTTCCCAGAGACCTACATTTGTTTGTGATCAAAGGATAGTCAGATTACATGCACCCTCAACGTCGTAAGAAATGGCCTCCGGTCCTTCAAATTCGTCATAAATGGAGGGGGGACGTGCTAATGCAATAGTGATCAAAGACGATCATGATATGTCACTATTTTACCTACCAACAACATATCCCTGCAAAGCGTTCAATTGGCCCAGTGACCTGGTATATTTCACTTAAAGACAACTACGCCTGGACACAACGTGATGTATCGATCGTGATAGAAAGCTGGGTGAACTGACCAGGAAACTTTTTGACTGGGGATAAGTTCTGCACTGCACAACAGGCGATATGATAAATTATCCTGATAGGACAAACGGTGGCATCGAGTTTGGTTAGGAATATCGTAGAATGTTTTGGTGATAAGCATGGTGGTAGCAGAATGAGGCAGAGCTAAACCCTTTGTTCACATTAACAACAATAAACGGAAATTGGGACAGTGGGGCCTTTCACTTTAGGTTCTGTGTGGGTAACACGGTCAGTAATTCTACTATTGAATCTCGACCATTAACCTATGTCATGTGTGGTTCATTACGGCTCTTTGTACGTCCGAGTGCGAATAAAAAACGGCCGCCGTGTGAGATGCATGTGAAGTAGGTATTATCATGCAATCTTAAAAACGTTTTGGAGGATCCTCGATCAAGTGGAAGTGGTAGAGGAAGGAAAGAAAAAATGTTTGATTTTCAACGCGTCCAACATGTGACCATGTATCGCCATCACGTATACAACAACTCGGTCCGGAGGGCCTGGAACGATGAGCGAGGTCGTGCTAAACCCTTTGTTCACATCAACCAAAATAAATGAGAAAAATTGGAACCCTTTCACTTTAGGTTTAGTATGGGTAACACGGTATTGAATCTCGACCATTAACCTATGTCATGGGTGGTTCATTACGGCTCTTTGTACGTCCGAGGGCCCCTAAGTACCTCATGATGCGAATAAAAAACGGTCGCCGTGTGAGATGAATGTAGGCATTATCATGCATGTACTTCAATGAGTGGCGCAAACCTTCGGACCGTCAGGAAGTGATATCATAGAAAGAGGCTAATGACGACACAAAGCCAGAGGAACGGTATTGATCAGACAGAGGCTGAGATAAAAACGATATGACGGTGTCCATTAATAACTCCTCCTGGGAGTCGTGGAAACAGAAACCATTAGTGGTAAGCATTTATAGACGTAATTGATACCATCGACGCTGATAATTCAGCACTATAATCAAGAACGAAGTATGGGATATTCAGTTCCCGAGAGCGAAGCCTTTCAAAATTAAGTTTGTATGAAGCTAACCGGACCAGAAAACATACGCTCTGATAAATCGAATCTAAAATAAAAAATGATGAAGGGACTAATGGCACCGTGGAGGAACGTACTCCAAGCTCATATCCTTGCCCATATGAATGTACCCAGCATCATGAAAGAGATGATCGCGAGGGATGAAAGCCTGAGCATGAATCTGCGTTCATTCTCATTCATGTCCGCGAGGTCCCCGAAATTGATCATACGTGTGCTATTACTCTTCATTTGATCCTTTAGGAGAGCGCGGCCTCTTTCAAATTATCCTCGATGGGCTAGTATTGCGGCTGATACTTGATACTTGATGGGTGGTGTAAGGAGTCGTCGGTGCGATGCGACCCTGATCGCAAACGTGTTGGGGGGCTTCCATCTTCGGCTTTCTTTCATGAACTTACGCATCCGAGTTGTTATGCATTCACCGTACTCGCGCGCAGGCCAAGACATGGCTATCGCCTCGTTTTCCTTCACTTATTGAATGCGACTAGTCTCCTCCGAAGAGCTACTATCATTCATGCGGGTATTATATCATGGAGCCGTTCACTTCGGGTAGTGGCGCTCATTCATCGCAAACCACTATTTTCCACATCAGAACTTCGTCCCATCGGTCGCCCCAAACCACGACTTTCCCAGCGTCAGTCCGTATCTATTACACGTAGTCACCGAATTGCAAACAAGAAGGAATTCATCGGGTAACTTGTAGGGGGGGGGGGGGTGCGAATCGGAGACCATGTTTTCCTTGCTAGGAGCAAATGTCGCCAGAGGTAATCGCCTTCCATTGTGATAAATTTGGAGAGAACAGGTGTTAGGACCTACCCACTCCCTGCATTTCAAGAATTCGCCGGACTCGACTGCTTCTTTCTGCCCCATTCGTATAGGTTCAGGCTGTTTCTTCGATTCACGTTCTGCACTAATATCGTAAACCAGATTCAACGGAAGTCGTTCAGTGGGGTGTAGAGTTCTCCGCAGCCATCCATGGTACCGGTAAAGAAGCCGGTAAAGAAGGCCCTTGCCGGGATCGGATATTCTGTACCGGGCCGCGATGTATCACTCACCACCCACCTCCCTTCAAGCACTTTCCCCTAACACACACCTGCCAACAATGCGATCGAAGTCAAGGTACCTGCTATAAGCTTTTTTTACAACTCCTGACTCATTTGTCATGACATGATAATAATCTACGAACTATTTCTATTCTTGTTCTGCCAGCAAAGCTGCAGCAGCATGCTCGGCTCTCTGACGCTCCGATATTCCCCGAAATCACGTGTGCGTGTATTATTATATCTTAACTTTTTAGATAAATAAATAAATAATTTTGGACCACCTTTCCACCCTAGTAGGTAACTTGTGGGTACTAGTCTTCAGAGAATTATTGACATTAACCCAGATGCTTAGATGACTCGACAGATGTTCACAATCTGATCGAAGCCATTTCGCGTATATTCCCGTATATGACACTGCCACCGTTTATGGTAACTATATACCCTGCTCACCGATCAGTATGAACATCACCGGGAGTGGAGCAGGTGTGTACGTCATCTCGGCACCGCCTTGGATTTCTTCACTCAGGGTTATACAACTCGATCTGAGGACGCAGTAGTCTCTCCCACCGACCTTGTTGTTTTCATTAAAACCGTGATTCGTTGTCTGTCTGTGGTCTGGCTCAAAGATATTCAACAGATGCGTCTTTCACTTTGCCAAAATGAAAAAAAATTGAGGAAGAGAAGGCCCGTTATCACGCGATGGATGTTATTTGCGACCCAGCTGCTGCGAAAGTAGTGACATTGGACCGGATCTTTCCCTCTACTGCGTCTTCCCTCTCACGGACATCTATCCCTGATACGACGCCTTGTCCTCGTTTCAGCCGCTGCCTGTAAATTATTCCCCTGTCTATGTCTCTTGTGTGATTAGGATCTATTACGCTCTCAGTTACCACTGTTCTCCTCTACGTCTAACCGCCCCAGTGTGATATTGTATCCGACGCATACTTCCATTGATCGGTCGGTCCGGGAAATGTGCCTGTGAGTCTCGAGGACCCCCCCACCCAGTCCAGGAGCTTCTTCTCTAGCTTTCTAGCCCCTAGGTTGTGTGTTGTTTAGATGGGCTCCGACCTCGGTATTGACATCTGTATGCGTCGTCCGAAGGCGAACTAAACACGCACTCATGGGCTGTCCGACTCGGGTGTTGCTGTTGAATGGTTTGATCACAACTGCCAACTGCAGGGATTTACTTGGAATCTTGGGTATTCTAAAGAACAAGCTAGACTTGAGTGGAAAGAAATCTGTTCCGGAGGGAGGGGGGTCTTCTGATCGGAGTACACCGTTGATGGTGTTCAGACTGGCCGAGATAGCACTTTCGAAGACCCCGAGCCACATGCAATCACAGAGTCCGGAACATCATCGTAGTCCATACGTGAATGCTGGCGTCTGAGATGAGACCGCAAAATTCTGTTGGAACGTTACAATTGGCATTCTCCTGAGCATAGATAACGCGGCAGGACCAAGGTACATGCATTAATTTCGGGTTGCATGCAAATCATACTCGGTAATCTCGTTGATCACGGTAGGCGGGCGCCGGGATCCCACTCGGTGCCAATCGATGGAGGCACAAGCAAGGAAGTCATAAGCTGAATTTGCGGCCTAGATTTCCTGTCTTTCGATTATTATCTTCGTCTCATTTGTAACACATCCACGTCAGTCTAATGCTGTCTGTTCCGTTCAATTGAATGAGATCAAAATCATGATTTTTTTTTAGATCAAATGTCACGTGAATGACGTAATATGATCAACTCTTTAAAAATGGGGAATTTCCGATAAAGTGATGGGGTAACCGTGACGTCCCTGCCGAAGTAAGTGCGCTCACTACGCTGTCGAGGCAAATAGCACTTTCCCCTTCCTACCACCAACCATGGCGCCGCCTATGCAGACACTGAAGCACGGATACTTTGGCAAGGGCTCCGTAGAGGTCACGCCGTCTCAGGCTCCGGGCGAAGGCGGCGTTCGACGACTGGCCATCGCGTCAGCAAAATTGGTCACACAGCCCTTCGAAGGTCTCGACGTTATTCCGGACCTCCTGGACTACTCTGCTCGGACGTACGGTTCGAGGAACGCCTTTGGATGGCGAGACATCATCGACGTCGTTGAGGAGGAGAAAGATGTGAAGAAAATTGTCGACGGGAAGGAGGTTCACGAGAAAAAGAAATGGAAATATTTCCAACTCAGCGACTACAAGTATATCTCCTACCTCGAATTCAAGGAGATTGTCTCGGAACTTGGTAGAGGGCTCGTCGACCTCGGGGTGAAGCAGGGAGACATTTTCAATGTTTATTCGGGAACGAGGTATGTCGTACGCCGCTGGAAATTTTTTTTCTTTTGACAATGATCCTGGTGCAGTCTCAACTGGCAGCTCATTGCCAATGCATGTGGGCTTATCGGCACGACCATTGCTACAGCGTACGATACGCTGGGCGAGTCCGGCCTTGAACATTCACTAAACGAGCCGGAATGTGTCGGGCTCTTCACCAACGCAGAACTGCTGCCAACGCTATACAACGTCCTTCGCCAGACTCCCACGGTCAAATATATCATTTATGACGGCAACACGAATACCAAGCTAGTGGAAGAACTCCACGCTGTCCGGGAAGACATCAAAGTTTGTCATATCGACCAAGTCAGAGAAAACGGCAAGGCAAAGTCTCTCGATACCATCAAAGACCTGCGACCTACGCCCGATACCACTGCTTGCATTATGTACACCAGCGGAAGCACCGGTCCACCGAAGGGCGTTGTCCTCACCCACAGAAACCTCGTAGCTTCCGTCGGAGCTGTATACGTCCTTTTGGGCCACCACCTCACCCAGCAGGACTTCTATCTTGCATACCTCCCCTTGGCTCATGTCTTAGAGTACATTGTAGAGCTCTCTATGCTTTTCGCCGGCGTGACGTCAGGATACGGTCGCGTCAAGACCCTGACAGATGCATCTGTACGAAACTGCAAAGGCGACATCGCAGCATTCCGTCCTAGTATCATGGTTGGCGTGCCCGCAGTATGGGAAACTATTCGAAAAGGCATCCTGTCCAAAGTCAACTCGGGAGGTGCCATTACGCGTTTCGTGTTCAATGCTGCCATAACCTTGAGGAAGAACAACGTTCCCGTTCTCGGTTATCTTGCTGACACTGTTGTGCTTAGTGGAGTGAGAGCGGCGACGGGCGGTAGGTTACGTGTGGCCCTTTCTGGTGGTGCTGCTATTAGCAAGGAAACCCAAGAGTTTTTGAACGTCGCGTTGATGTGTATGCTTCAAGGTACGTATTCTGGCCTTTGCGTTCAACGTTATCGTTCGACTTTTTGTTAGGCTATGGTATGACGGAGTCGTGCGGCATGTGCGCTGTTCTGCCCCCGGAATGCATGCGATATGAAGCCGTGGGTCTGCCGATGCCGTCAGTCGAAACAAAACTGCTTGACGTTCCCGAGGCCGGGTACTTGTCGTCGAACGACCCGCCTCAGGGTGAAGTGTGCATTCGGGGACCATCAGTAACGAAGGGCTACTTCAAGCGACCGGACCTGAATGAGGATGAGACCATCTTCACCAAGGATGGCTGGATGCGCACGGGCGACGTTGGACAATGGAACAGTGATGGAACCTTGTCATTAATTGATCGGTGCGACATGTCGTTTGTTGTTTTGCTCGGTTAATACTGACCGTTATGGTTGCGGTGGGCTATCAGTATTAAAAACCTTATCAAGCTTTCTGGTGGCGAGGTGCGATTTTTTTTGAATATTGATCTCGGGGCTTGGCTGACAGACTTGAGCAGTACATAGCGCTCGAACGACTTGAGGCGACATACAAATCATGCAACCTGATTGGCAATATGTGTATATATGCCAACGCAAGTGCCTCGCAGCCTATTGCTATTATCATACCACATGAAGCGCACCTGCGGCATTATCTTGCGAACGTTCCCGGTTTGTCCCCTTTGTGTCGTTCTTCGTTTAGCAGTCCGTTTTATCTTCCTTTGTAGATGTCAATGGCAAGGATGGTCTGGGCATCCTATGTCACAATAAGAAGGTTGTGTCACTGGTTTTGAAGGAGTGTAACGCTATCGGAAAGAAATCAGGCTTCAAGACGATGGAGTTATTGCAAGCTGTTATTTTGACACCAGACGAGTGGACGCCGGAGAGTGGGTTGGTCACTGCAGCACAGAAGATCAACAGGAGCGCCATCGCGAAGCAGTTCGCGTCTGAGATCAAAGTGGGTCTTTATCTATCTGGACCATCTCGATCATATACTGATGCATGTCCCTGTTCAGGAGGCCTACAAGCAGTAGCTGCACGAGAGTCGGACTTTTCCTTTCACGATTTTCTTTTTTCTTTAATTGTGGCTTTCGTCGTGTATTCTACCATAAACTTCTTAGATCTGGACGTTGATAAAGGCATTTCATTTCGTTCATATCCGTGACAGCGTAAAAGGTACGAGGAATCGAGATTCTTCATGCCTTTTCTTCTTGAGATTCAGAATAAATGCTCTCATTACGCGACCCTTCCGGCATGTCAGGCATGCGTTTGCTGTCTTCCTTGAGCTTCCTGAAGTACTTCTCTTCATCCCACACGAATGGGCTTTTGCTTGCAAAGAGTAGGTCCATCTCTTCCAGGGTGCGGTTAGCTGCGATCAGAAAGTGTCAGGGAAGAGTATTCATATACGTCAGACGACCTATACAGACCTGTCTCCGGGTAGAATGCCCACACTATGGGGATGCACAGGAAGTTGATGGCGCCAAAGATGTAAAGGGTTCTGAGCAAGAAACGGGTTGGGGGTCAGGTAGGGAGCAGAATGGGGAAAGAACCGTCTTACTTCTCGGCGATGTTATCGAACATGACTGGGTTCAGCATCATGAGCCAGCCATTACCGATGCTCCATCCAACGACACCCCATGCGTTCCCTTTGGCACGCACTTCTAGTGGGAAAGTCTACACGCAGGATCGTAGTCAGCCTTTGTGACGCGAATGGGAGCTGGAAAAGGGAATACCTCCGTAGGGTACACCCAAGGGATAGTCAACCACGTAGCTCCGAATATTGCAGTGTAGAGGAACACAAAGAAGGCCGCTGCACCGCCGTATTGTGCGGCTTTGTCAGGGTGATCTTTCAGTAGTCGGGAGAACACTCCCGCGAGGATCTAAGAGCGGTATGAGGTCAGTTCGGGTGCTTGTAAAATGATAAGAAGCTGCATACTATTGAGATGCCCTGACCTATGGCTCCCCACCACAGTCCAATACGGCGGCCCCATCGGTCGATTGTGTAAATAGCGAAGAAAGTTGAAAGGCAATAAGTCACCTGGGGGGTGCAAACTCAACACGTCGGTACTATGCATAAGTATTATTATCCCAGAAGCTCACATCGTTCAATCCGGAGAGCCATTGTGATTTACGAGCACCGTAGCCAGCTTCAGAGAATATAATAGGGGCGTAAACGGTGATCGCTGCAATACCTACCCATCTACATAAGCATCAAATGAGCATTATGAAGAGCGATGCGTGGGAGTGGCGTACTCTTGCAATATCTGTAACCAGATACTCAGTTGAACCCGACGAGCGATGTGTAGATCTCCAGACCCTGTCAAATGGCGATTGAGCGACAACTTCGAGTTGTCAGCGAATCAAAACCCACCAATCCCCCAGAACATATTCCAATAACTGTTCATCTTCGAATGCTTCTTCTCCAGCTCCACAACCTCCGCAATGGCCTCAAACTCCTTGTCTGCGACCGAGTGGTCTTTCTCTCCTTTGGTATCTGGTTCTACGTAGCGAAGGCGTCGAAGAACGGCTTGTGCTTCCTCAAGCCGACCTGCTTTTACAAGCCAACGGGGGGATTCAGGCATGTGAAAGAGAGCAAACTACATGAATAAGCATTAAGGCCTTCGAGACTTCGATGTATGCATACCATGAAAATGATGACGGGAAGGATCTGAAAAGCGATGGGAAATCTCCATCTGACCTGAGAGCGACCGTCTCCAACAAATCCAAGACCGAATTCCTACAAACCTGGGTCAACTGCGGAGATATAAAAAAATAGGCCGTAGTAGGGACATACTAGCCAATAAGCAACGACGACTCCGAAAATATTTAGGGTGAATTCTATTGCGATGAAGGCGCCTGTGATGAGGCTTTAGGTAGGGCAAACGAAGACGGCAGAAAGCCAGAAAAACCTCTGGATGTATGCGTAGCAACCTCTGCACTCCAAACGGGGACGATTGCGTTGAGATACCCTGTTCCAATACCATTGATCACTCTCGCGCAGAGCATCCTATGAATACGGATTAGATCCACAGACAGGTCACATTGAGAATGAACGTGCCATGCCAGGTTTTGTGCAGAGCACTGCAAAGCGGCTCCAACCATGACCCAGAGACAACCGATAAACATCGTTTTCAGACGACCGAGTCGATCGCCCGTCACTCCGGCAATTATACACCCAATGAGGGTTCCGAGATAGTATACTGAAAAAGAACAGAGTCAGGTTGAAACTTCGGCTGAAGAGCTGGTGCGCACTTACTGCTGACGATACCTCCCTGTCGTGTGGGGTTCGTGATCTTGACGACATAGCCTTCCGAGTCTCCTTCGTAAGTGGAATATCCAAGATTCATCGTATCGACGTAATGCGGGGAGGTGTTTACCCCACCCATCATTCCCTGGTCGTAACCGAAGCTAAAATCGTGGACAATCAAAACTATTCTTCGATCGGCAAAGAATCCCGTACAAGAAAATCGCCAAACCGGCGACGACATTGATCCCATAGTACAACTTTCTTCCAGCTAGTTGAGACATGCACGCGATGAAGAAGATCTGGGGGATCAAACTTCTCTATCGACGGTCTTTGATGCTGGCCTTGATAAAAGGGCTACCGGCCATGGCCGATTATCGTCAAAGATGCATCCGAAGAAAGAATCCCAGATCCGACGGAGGAATATTAGACGTTCTGTTGCGTTCTTTTCTAACCTTCGTACCCCCCACATGACCGAGTGGGAGCTGGTACCGGGCCGCTTCCTGCGAAAAGAACAAGGCGGAACAAAACGGACAGTGTAGAGAAATGCAAAGAGATGCAGCGACGTTCCAGAGTACAAGCATCGAACGGTCTATGACGATGACATAACTTCAGGAAAGCCCTCGTGTCGTTGCTTTGCTTTCAAAACAAAGCTCAAGAGAGACATTGTAATTGAAGTGGCCCCTCGCAACGCGTGTGAGGCCAGAAGGCGATTACGGTTCTACCTGTTCTGTAAATCTGTTAGCTCCATGTGGCGTCGAATAAAGTCACAATGTGTCGGTAGGTCGTAATTCAACTATCATTGACTTACTTTATCAAGCGGGAAAAAATGTGCAGCACGGTCACAGGACTTGCATGTCGGAGAAAAGAGCTCTAGAACAGAAAATTGAGCCACCGGCCCCCGGCGCTGTAATACAAGTGCCAAGGGCAAAATGAAATCTTGAATTCGAAATATCAGGAGATGCTCGCAGAGTGTACACCCATCCTTTGTATGATCTAGAGCTGTTGAAATATTTCAAGAAATATCTGGTCGGCTATGGAGGAGATCAAAAGGAGAAACGGTGATGGATCAATGTGTTCGCAACGGAGAGGCCTTGATGGAGAGAACTTGGAAAGTCCGAGACTCGATCGACACCGCTCGCAAATGTTGTTTCTGCAGGATCATGGTCGAGTTGCCGGAACCCGCCATGCTAGAATGTAATTCGTCGCAAGCGCTGGTACACATTAGAAAAGAGGTGTTGGCAAGAGTAGTACGTGACGAACCAGCCCTGGATATGGCCATATTGGCAATGTTGAGTTTATTAGAAACACTCCTGGAGGCTGACTTGTTCGCGCCGGTCAAAATGCAAGGCAGAATGATGAAATATAGATAGAATTTTGACCATGGTTTTGTCCACAAAACGCGGCAGGGTTACCTTTCAAAGTTATAAGTTTTGCTGTGTTCAAGATGCCTCAACAAATCTCTATTTGTTATCTGCACAGTTTTGTCTGTTTTGATTGACCCCAGATAGCTGCTTACCAGGGGTGAAAGCTGCTAATACAATGTCAAAAAGGGAATGCCACTGTCGCAAAGTGGGTGCATTCCACGCCGAAAATATTTTATGCTGTGCCGGTCTACCGTGGTGGTTAGAATGAGGGAACCACTGATTTCAGGTTTCCCATCTAGTGTCCATTTTAAGTTCTACAATGTCCTGGGTTTCTAGGTCGTGAGCCCGGCTGGGGAATTGACTAGAGGGTAGTGAAGATTGGGTTTTGTGTTACTTGTGTCCTTGCGTACGGCGCGCCTGATGGTACCGTGCCGTGCAACGATGAGATGAGATGTTGATAGTAAGTACGCAAGGAACAACAACGCGCAAAACGCGGTGTTACGGTCACATGCTGTGACACTCATTTTGTTCTTTCCCACTGTCAGCATTCTTGGCAGGTAACTCTTTCCTATTGACCACCACCATGGCCTCAACTTCCTTGCCCTCATGCTCACCTAACCTCATGCCGTTTCATATTGATTACGATGGACCCGCATCTATCTCGACGTTTTTTCGCGTCGAAGAGCGCGTCACCGAGAATTCGGATGAGCCCAAACCTGTGCCAGATGAGCCGAAGGCGGAATCCTCTACGACAGCTACAGCAGTACCTCCATCTCTTGCCAGACGTGCAGCCACGTATTTTGTCTCAAGCTTTCGAGGACGTACGCTTCATGGTAAAACGATCCACGTCCCGAAGGGCTATACGGGGTTGGTGTGGAAGAATATAGAGGGAGTCAAGAAAGGGAAAGGAAAAGGGAAGGCCACACATGATGGCCCCTCGAGCAGCGCCGCACGTCGCTTTCGACGAAACAGGCAGAATGAGGATGAGGATGAAGATGCACCGACCGCGAAGTCCTCCGCACCCGTTCTCACACCCACCGCCCAGTTTTCCTCCTTCGTTCTCTGGCATCCGGACACATTGGGAAGAGAGAAAGATGACGAATATGTTAGAAGTCTAGATGAATGGACCAAGTTGTCAGAGCTGGTATGTCCGCTCTTCTGTGCCTTTTTCTCCAACTCATGCCGTGCCAGATTCATTATGTACCTGGCGATGAATGACTTAATCCTTGTTTCATCTATGGATAGACCGTCGATTTATGTTACCCAATCAATACCTACTCAATTTTTGAGCAGAGAGAGTTTTACAAAGGTGTAGATACTATAACCTTCACAAGTCATAGCTCAACATTCTCTTCCAACATAACAGACATTGGGCTCTCCAGAGCTTTATTTCTCAATAGAACACCACATGCCAGAAAGCAGCTACACAGCTCCTTGTTGTCCAGCTCCCTTCACTATCCTCAACCTGCTTGTTTCAGATGTTGTTACTCAGATCTTCAATGGTTCCCATACTTTCATTACACCTACACCAATGCATGCAAATGACTTTTTTATGCCACATACAGATGATTTACCATAGAGGCCTTCCAATTCAGACTCTGATGGTATCACTGGACCATGGGAAGGATATTGTTTGAACAAGGATGGAGTAATGCCTACAGCAGTGTACCAACTCTTTGGGCTGGTACTGTTAAGCCCAAGTTTCATGTGACTATCAACATGTGATAAACAGTTTGGTACCTCATACTTCGGGTATGTCTGACTGAGTTCACTGGAGTCAATAGTGGAAGTGAATCAAGGCTCAAATAGTAAGAGCTTGAGAGTAGTTTGGTGGAGATAAACTTTAGTTTGAGACTGGGGTGTTACAGCGAGAACTAAGCTACTTAAATACTGTTCTGTTATCTTACTATAAATAAACGTTCACAAAAGATATTGTCTGTCATAGAGCTGTTACCCCTGCTGTTGCCAGGCTCTCCACAAAAGCTGTTGTCTTGCTGTTGTGCTGTAGTTGTTGCACTGCTGTCCGAAGACGAAAGGGTATTGTCTCTCCCTTCACAGCACACAGCAGTCAGATAGGAGAGTGACCGACTTGGGTGCTGAGGTAAGTGTTCTCATAGTCCTAAGTGCTGGTCCAAGCACCCTGACTAAGCAAGATAGGGGTCATTTCCGAGGAAAAAGAAAAGAAAATAGGAAGAAAATAGGAAAAATCGTAACATTACCCCCTCCTTAAGACCATCATCCCGATGGTTAAGTTAGGGTAGTCCTCCCCCCTTGGAAGGAGGTGGCCGATCTGCTGGACCCATTGTCGTTTGGTTGCCAGGCTTCAGACGAGTCGAAGGGGTGGTACATTGCTCTTCGCTGTATGTCCCTCCCATTTTTGGCTTGTCTGTCACAGGGTCATCTTCATCACCCTCTCCTGCATGTCCTCTGCTGTCGGCAGGTCAGTTGATGTATATCTGGCTAGATATCATCTCCCTTCCTTTTGTCGCCTTGTCATGCTCCACAGATATAATGTTGAACCTGACTGCCTTGATGTCTAATTTGTTGATCCTGTGTTCATAGTCACAAATTGCCTCCTCCGCATTCATGTATTTTTCATTGACCCATTGGTTTGATTCTGGTCTGTATCTCTTCCAGCTGACTAGGTAGTCAACAGTTGTTTTCATGCCTCCGCCTCGTGCTTTGACCCTTTGGGTTTTATGGTTTAGGACTTCATCGATTTTGTAGTGTTCTTCATCATCGATCAGTTCTATGGGTGGTAAAGGTGGTTGTTCCTGGTTGGAAAAGGCTGGTGCAATGTATGATGTCAACAATGTTTCATTAAAAACATTATGGATTTTCCAAGTTGCTGGGAGCTGCAACTTGTATGCAGATTTGCCGATTTTGCCAAGAATTTTGAATGGGCCTGTTCGTTTGTCTGCCAATTTCTGTTTTGGCCTTGGTAGGTGAAGATTTGTAGTATCCAATCAGACCTTGTCATTGGTAGAGTATTCATGTGCTGTGCATTTGTGTTTGTCATATTGCTTTTTCATCGTTTGGGCAGCCTTTTCGAGGGCTGTCTGTGTTTCTTCATGGATTTTTGTCATTGTTGTGGCAAAGTCCGTTGAAGCTGGTGTTGTTGTATGGGTTTGTGTAGTTTGCACAACTGATGGGTTTTGGCTGTAATTCAGAAAGAATAGTGTTTTACCTGTTGCGGAGTGAATTCTGTTATTGTGTTGAAATGCTGCCAGTGTGAGCCATTCTGTCCAGTCATCCTGTCGGTAACTAATGAAAAGTCATAGGTACTTTTCGATTTCTTGGTTGGCCCATTCCATTTGGCTGTCTGTTTGTGGGTGATATGCTGTTGAGGCATTTTGTTTGATGTTTAGAAGTCGATACAAGTTGTCCAGAAATTTGGATATGAATTGTGGACCTCTGTCTGAGATTACTACTTGGAGCATGCCGTACTTTGCATAAACCTCATCTCATAGTATTTTCGCCCATCTCTCGGATGTCAGTTCTATCAAGCAGGTGATCAGAATGATCGCTTTTGAGAAGCGATTGACTATGACGATGATTGCATCATAGCCATCACTTTCAGAAAGTCTGGTTATCATATCCACCAAGATATGGGTCCATGGTGATGAAGGGACCTCATTCGGGTGGAGTGGTGCCACTCTGGGTTGTGTTGAAGCCTTGCCTCATTGACAAGCTTCACAAGCTTTGACATATCAGGTGATATCATGGTCCATTCTGGACCATCAATACTCCCATAAAACCAGTTCTTTGGTCTTTGCGATGCCGGGGTGTCTGGCAGTTGCATGATCATGACATGTGGCAATGATATCATCATGAAGTTTTTGATCTCTGGAGATATAGATTCATTTGTTGTAACGGATTAATCCCTCTTCCTTTTTCAGCCCTCACTCATGGTTTAGTGAAGGAGCGATTCTTTGATCCCATTTGTGTGGGTCCTGAGTGGCGCTTTTGATTCGTTCATGTATTTCTTCCTCCGTGGGCATGATCATTGCCCAGAAATGTTCTGGTCATAGTAGTATGATCTCTTTGTTGTTGTCTTCTCCTTGGTTGTGATCCACCCTGTGGCTGAGGAGGTCGGCCTTCTTATTTGCGATGCCGGCTTTATGATGTAACATGTATTCATACTCAGATAGTTCTGTGACCCATCGGGCTTGTCAGTGGTTAAGCTTTTGAGGTTGTCAGAAGTATCAGAGATTTTGATGATCTGTCCAGATTTCGAAAATCTGAGCTGCTCCTATGAGGTAATGCCGCCATTCAGCAAGGGTGAGCATTATGGTGAGGAGCTCCTTATCATAGATTTCATAGTTGCACTCAGTTATCATGAGCACCTTTGACATGAAGGTGACTGATCGCCACTTGCCATCTTGTTCCTGTGAGAGTATGGTCCCAATTGCACCTTCACTAGAGTCAGCTTCCACTCAGAATTTTCCATCTTGGCTTAGTATGGCCAAGATGATGTCTTTGGCTAACCAGCGTTTAAGGTCGTCGAATGCCTCCTATTGGGAAATTCTCCAGTTCCATGGGGAATTCCTGGTTAATTGTGTCATTGGTTGGACTATTTTGCTGTAGTCCCAGATGAAGCATCAGTAGAAGTTTGTGAATCCCAAAAAAGATTGTAGTTCCTTCTTTTTGGTTGGTTCCAGCCATTCAGTTACTCCCACTATTTTGATAGAATCCATCCGAATGCTTCCTTCGCTGATGATGACTCCAAGGTATTCTGTTTCTAATACCTTGAAGTCGCACTTCTCTGCCTTGAGGAAAAGTCAATGTTTCCTCATCAGGGATAACACCTGTTGTGTTATCCTTCGGTGTTCCTCCTTAGTTTTGGTCATAATAAGAATGTCATCCAAATAGATCGTTATCTTCCCGGTGGTGATGAGATCTTTGAAGATATCATTCATCATCCATTGGAAGGTGGCTGGTGAGTTGGTGAGTCCAAAGAACATCACTGTCGGTTCAAACAGACCACGATTGGTCTGGAAGGCAGCCTTCCATTCATCGCCTTCTTTGATGCATACGTTATTATACCCCCATTGGATGTCCAATTTGATATAATATTTGGCACCTCAGAGTTTGTCCATTAACTCTGAGATTAGCAGAAGTGGATAATGGTTCTTGATCATCATCTCATTTAGTTTCCGATAATCTTGTACTGGTTGGAGTTTTCCATCCTTCTTTTTGACAAAAAAGAAGGGCAAGGCCATTAGCAACTTGGATGGTCAGATCCTCCCACTTGACAAATTTTCTTTGAGGAATTTGTCTAGTTCTTGTTGTTCATTATTGCTAAGTGGGTAGCACTTGCAATCTAGGTTGGCATTGGAGTTGGGGATTAATTTGATAGCATGGTCTCAGGGTTTTGCTTTGAGTAGTTCGTCAAAACTTTCTTTTTCAAATAAATCCTGGAAGTTGTGAGCCCAAATGGGTACCATTTCTTCAAATGTCCTCTCTTCCTTCTCTGCGTTCACTCTTGCTGCTAGGTCATTAGCATGGTGGGTTGCTTTAATGTTGATGGCCCTTTGGAGGTTGACAGCAAGAATTGTCTCACCATCCTCCATCTCTTTGTCCCACCAGTCATCAGAGTCATTGTCTGGTAGTTCGAAGGGAATTCCCCGACATCAGCATCGAGTGAAAGTGATGTGTCTGGTCTTCCAATTGATTAGCAGATTATGTCTGATCAGCCAATCATGCCTGAAGAATATCTCTTTAGTTCTCAGGTCAGTTACTGCTAAGTCGATTCATTCCGAATGATCACCAATGGTGAGCCTGAGCTCGACATATTTGGTAATCGACCCAGCTTGGTTTTTGGTTCTATCTGCATTATAGACAGGAATAGAGGCTGCTGTTGCCCTAGTAGGCAATTTGTGCTTGTCAACGAAAGCTCGGTTGATGCTACTTCCCATGCAGCCACTGTCAATTAAGGCGGTGACTGTATAGGTTGATCAGGATGTTAACGTCTCGATCTGGGCCTTGGTTAATAAGTCGCGCCTAGGAAGTTTGGTTTGATGAATGAATTTCCGTGGCCCATGTAATTCATCCAACCATTCCAGGGCTTGACATCGCTCCACAGCTTTCATCCCAGTGATCATTTCATCGATTACTTCCTCGACTCAGGTCTTGTGTACCCAGTTTTTTAGTATGGCTTTTGCCACTGCTTCGTTCTTGGCATCCTTGATGGCTCACCAAGTCCATTCGGTATCGAATGGCTTTAGCCAACCTGTGGGGTTCTCTACCTCTGTTCAGCCTGAAGGCGATTGAGTCTGTTCTATACTTTTAGTTTGATGAACTTTTAATGATGATGCACCTTGCTTAGGGCTCTCTGCCCTTCTTTGGCCTTTCATCGGTGCTTGAGGTGTCGGAGTCGGTTTTTTAGGCAATTCTGAGTTCTGAGTAGTGGGGTCGGGTATATTCGAATGCACACATAATTTAGACATGGGTGGTTGTACTATAGAGGAAGAAATGTCAGTCTGTCCAGCAGAAGGGGACCCATTACTCTTGTCCTTGGCCGAGGCAGTCGAATCGCTTACTGCTCGGCCCCATCTTTTACCTCCTCAGGTTTGTTGTTC